ACTTTCCAGCTCCTATCACTGAGTAACAATGTAAAGCACAATTAACTCCAAGTCAATCTGAACAGCAGGGAGAAGAACAGCGAAGGATGGGGAATCGCATGGGATCAGGAGATAAAAGTAAACAATAAAAATAGCGAGGCAAATTCGTGTGTGTTTTTTTGTGCTGCAGTGTAGGCTACAGTAAACGGGAGAGGAGAATAATGGAGCGCAACGGAACGGGTATGAATGGCTGGTTTGAAGAAAAGAGGATTGACAATATGCACCGCATTCAATATTGGGCCGAGACAAAGCTGTCATTGGTGCATGCAAAGTGATAGGTAAATACTTCGGTGCATGTCTTGATTTGAAGTGGTGTCTTAGACGAATTGTTGTGTGAAAAGAAGATTCTTCAATGGTTGACAGAAGTCTGATGACCATTCTCTAGGAATGAGTAATTAGATAGATTTGATAATTTCTTGAGGTTTCTGGACGAAAATGAGCACTCCAAGAAAGCAAAAAAAGGTAAGTGTGGGATAATCATGTAAATGAACACATATGACAGTCTCTTGTTTACGTTTATCGTGCTGGTATCGACTTATGCTCAAACGGTGGTAACGATATACCAATACCTCCCACTGACATGATAACCGTATTTACTAGATTCATGATGTGCTTGCTCAATTCGTAATTCTACCACTTCGCCGATGCTCACATTTCACTACCGGCGATTTTAAACAACTCATACTATTTGTTTGGTTTCACATGCTTATTGATTTCTAGATGATTTTGGGTACTCTAACTTATCATGTTCACCACTAAACTAAAAGCATCACGCTCAAAGAACAAGAGAACTTTCCTCTTGAGGAAGATCGTCTATTGTTATCAAACGCGGCATAACTTTAGAAAACTGCTGATGCTAATTCAGTCATAGACACCATTCTTTGAGAGAAATACCTCGGCCTCATCAGTTCAACATCCTACCTATCGATTTAATCATGCAATAGATGCAAAATCAGCAGCTGTTACAGTTCAATAGAATCTGAAAAGATTCTTTGTCTTCAGGAAGAAAAAACAGAGTGAGTTAAATATTTTCTTTGAGGCTATTCTGTTTAGATGAAGAAAAAGCGTACCAAATGGACGTCACGATCACGCGCTATCTCGTGGAAACATTATCAGAAGGCTCCTGTGCAAAACGAAGACAACCGAACACTCAGTTTATCTTGCCAATGCCGCATTCATTCACACATCAGTGGAGTTTCTGTACACATACTCGATTCTTCAAAGAGATCTTCAATCTTTTTAGGACGATACAATTCGTGAATGTGATCGATCCAGATCCAGTTGCTTCAGGCTCTCTTCAAAGAGGCCAGTTGCATGCATACCAATAACACCGAAGACTACTGTTTTCGGACTCTAAGACAATAAAATTCGAACATAATCCAAAGCAAACTAACCATCGTACGTAAGACCCACTAACATCGTCAACATCATCTTTTTCTTCATCATCATACAGAGAAACACACCAAAGTGAACTTCAGTGACCGCTGCTGGTACCGACTAATCTGAAGTCGATGCGCTAGCAGATTTATCCCCGATAAACTCCCAGAACACACAACGGAGAAATTCCAGATCACTAATCTGTTTGCTGTATCCCACGTCTGCAAAGCTACGCAAGCACCAATAGTGGAAAACTTCTAGTCACTCGTTTAGAACGCCTTCAGATGCGACCGTTGATTCATCTTCCAGTCTGTATAGATCATTTAAGGAAGTGATGTATTAGAACGGGACCAAAATTCAGTCGCCTAAAGGTCACCGTGATTGGCTCGCAGAAGGATGTGGAGTGAGAGGAGCAACGTAGTTTACACCACTAGGCCACTACAACACTGCAATCAGGTTGTAATGCATCATACGTACGATCGATCTTCAGTCGTGACAATTAACAGGTTTGGGACAATCTCTTTTGTGCAAACAGATTGGTTGTGGACACACAAATGGCAATCGCCTCTGCAGTGGCTATGGTTTGGAGACGTAATGATTTTAATGGATGAGGTGGTACTCGATCGATAACTTTGTAGTTTGTTTTAGGATTCACTTGATTACCTGAGTCTGCTAGATGAGCCAGAATAGCGCTTCTTGTTATATCTTTTCCGCCGTGTCGAAGTCATTGTGGACAGTGCTCTGTAATCCGCTGGGACAATTGCCTCATGTTTCGGCGTGAAAAACAGTTGAAGGAACAGATGACCATAGATGAGGCCAATATGTGTAAACTGTCTTCAATGAATGTCCCCATTATTGGTTAGTCTGTGAATAGGCATGACAAAGCTCTAATCAGATCACACAGGTTGTCTCCCTTGAATGGCATCTTTTTCTTCGGAGCTTCATAAAGGGGCAAGGAGTTCATTCGGTCTTTCTTCTAGGTTTCTTTTGATGAACTTTTGAGGGTATTCGTTTCCCCTGAGATCTTTTTAAAATTTGACTAACTTCATCTACGCACGTGAATTCGGGGTAAATCTTTCGTGCACGCGAGACAAGGCACTGAACAAAGCTCTCTTTTGCCTAAGCGGCAAGAAACTGTGAAGGTTAGTACACTACCCGGTACATGGTTTTTTTGTACACACCCTTTTTCAAGCAAGTCATCAATTGTCCTGCAAAAAGCTACGTTAAGGAACGCTAATTCATTATCTTTCTCGGTTTCCAGGATGAAACTTATGGACTTGTGAGCCTTCGTAAAAGTTTGTGATGTGGGTTAGACCATTCTCATAGTCGATTATAGGAAATATATCGTCAATATACCGCTTATAGAATTCAAGCTTTCTAACTTCCGATACCAGATCTCAGTTCTCCAGTTTGACCACACATATCCGTTGATATCCGGCCTATTGGAGAACCCATCCCTTTGACGATCCACTTTTTCGTTAAACAGAAACTGAACATCGGAAGTGCGCTTCAGAGACAGTTCTCTTAGTCTTCTTACCGGTATTTTTATATCGATTCCATTTTATTCCATGCTGTTCCATAAGTGGAACGTTCGAGTATGATGATACGACAACTAGAGAAAACACTTTATCGTTTGTCCCTGGATCGCGTTCACTAATTCCAGTGTACCTTAGGTTGTTTGGCTATTTGCTACTGGACTGGTTCTAGGATTTTCGTACGGCATTTCACAACGCGTGATATGGGGAGTTGATCACTGATAGAATAGATCGCAAAACTGAAAAAGTCTCATGAACATTTGTTAACCCAGATAGACTTGGGATGGTGGATCGACACATTTATCTTTTACTCGCAAATTCAAGATCTCACAACCATAAAGCAAAACTAATCGTACAGTGGTGCAATATACACAACTTTCCAACCTCAGTGAAACGCCGCGTCTACACCAAAGGTGCTTCGGTCCTGCGTACTTTGCACAAGCATTGGAAACGAGACTGGTTATCTCCTTTGCTTCGCTACTTTCAATGGTCACGCAAATACCCAAATAGGAGAAGCAGTCCACTATAACTAATTCCTAGTCACTTAGCCTCAAAGTGGGACTACACAACACCCAGTCCTGTAAAATCATTTTGCACGTTAAAGGAGCTTCGCGGACAACTGAGTAGAAGGCTCCTTTCAGGTCAAGAAACACTGTGATTGTTGGTTGATGGGTACTACACAGCTCAAGGACCTGAAGCAGTGTAAACATTTGATCACATCATTCACGACCAGGCAGAAATCCGGCTTGCTGCCCACGGGTGTTGGTTTCTCTTGAAGGATTCAGACGTCGAAATGCGACGAAGCCCAGCACTTTGGTGACGATTGCGATCAAACTTATACCGCGTTGGTTTCGACTGTTATTCCGAGATCCTTCTTGAAAATGGGAAAATTAGTGATTTGCCACAAGATGCTGGAATATACTCTTGCGACCAGATTTTGTGCGGTAAGCTAGTAACACAACTTATGAGGCTATCAACCCCATCCGGAACAGAGTAGGAGGAAGCCTGTCAAGTCCTACTGCACTACCTTTCTGTAGAGCTTAAATGAAAACCTATGTTTGTGCTTCTTCCGGAGGATCACGTGACACTGCCCACGGAGGTTCAACTTTAACAGTCGATCTAATCTGGCTAGCGTCCAGCCAGCTCAACTGTTCGTTGAAATACTCAGGCCAGTGGTCAAGTCTTTGTTTCTTATTGTTAGTAACCTGTACCGTTTCGTGGAAGATTGTTTCACTAAGTGAAATTCGCGGACCTCCGGTTCGCCTGCTATGGTAGCTCACCAGTTTTGACGGCCCCTCTGACCAACCAATTGAGACGGTTGGCAACAACTCAGTCAACCGAACGGTTGATNATATGCTTTCCCATGTTCTCCCACTTCCCCATAAATAACCACCCTTTGTGCATAGTAAATTAATTCCTACACGCTTCCATCTATGTTCTATTCCAATACGCATAGAGTCGCTATCTGAACGAAAAATGTTACCAGAAGATCACTTGAGAATCCGGTATTGAGTTACACTTGCGTGGTGACAACAGGATTGAGGTCATAACTATCTATAGATCAAGGACCGAATCCCATTGGGGGTTAATGCGGTTCACTAGTTTATCTCTTACGATGAAAGCAGTCAACTTCCGGCGGCCAATTAACAAGTGTTTTTCCATCAAGTTGTTCACTCTGTGTGTTGTGTAACAAAACGGAACGAATAAGATCACATCTCAGAATGCAATAATCTGAGCTCCAGTGTGTGTATTTCTTATATGTACAGGATGAAAGATCACAAAAAGCCAAATAGGCTGTTAATGGCAGAATATTGTGAAAATAGTGTATGGTGCTAGCGCAGACAGGGAAAATGGCAACGCAGATCAACGGTCGAGTTGTTTCAGCACCGAATGTATAACTTCATGCACGAGGGAGTCTCGGTTGGAATATGAAACCTGTGGAAAAAACATCAAAGTAGAAGCGCAAGCAACCAAGAAAATCACCGAATCCGCGATTTTAAGCACAAAGAATACTACTTTTTACCAGTCACTGATAAGTGGAGGTTTTTCTCACAGGGCGAAATTCGTCGCAACAAAAGGCTGTGACATCACCGGAAGAGAACGAAATTCATAACAGACTTTCTGCACCAAATTTTGTAACCGATACAAATTCAGGCTGAGAAACAAATGGAATCCTCCAGTCACATTATTCACAAAAAGTAGCCCGATTTTCGAAGTTTGTGTCCCAAGGGGTCTCAGAGTTGTTACTTTGGACAGGGATTCGTTGGGGCCCTGAACAAACATGAGCAAAGCCTAGATTAAATAAAATATGGTTGAACAAAACCTTCTTTAGATCAGAAAATGTAAGAGCATCGCTAAGCATTGCACTAAAGCTTACTTCAAACATACGAGCCTGAGGATAGGCGCACAATTCATCCACCAACCGAATTCCACGACGTGAGTCACCAGATCCGCGGGGAGCTGGAACGGTGGCCAGTAGGACAACGCCGTTCATTTCGTTTATCCGAGCGAGTAATTTCCCCAGACAATCAGAAAATACTGGACACAATAACTCCATTTTGCCAATCTCATCGATCACGCAGATGGTATGAATTCCAGTTGAACCCGTAGCGTTTTCTGAAGCATTCAATTTGTCCAGGACTGACTGGATCACGAAAGACACGTTGCAGAGATTATTTACTACGCAGGGTCCTGTGATTGTTACGATTACTTACATATTATTTCACAATGCTATGGGACGTGGATCACTCAGTACGGAGTAACTAAAAATGGGGCTGAGTGATTTATCTCGAATAACATTAAATGGATCACGAAGTGGTACAATGAAGTGAATGATACAAACTTCAGTTGTAGATAAAGTAAACTGTTTAAATTGTGTTATTTGGCAGATTTAAGTATTACGCTTAAATCGTGTCTATGAGAGGATGCGTTGATACAGATCAAAATGACGATACTGAACTTTTCGCAAATCAAACAAAAAAAGTTTTCATATTCTGCAGTCTCTTTCCTTTGAAAATCCATTACAAGGCTTCGCATCTTTAGAATAAAAATCCTTTTGGACAACCGAACAAGTTGTGCTGTCTTTAGATGAAAAGTGTTAGTTAGTCACAATCACACTTATGCATAAACTTGATCTTACAGGGTTGTGATCGCTGGAGTACGTGCTGATTATGTCATTGAATAGGCTTCCTCTGTATGCGACGCTACCGAAACATGGAGTCGTTGAGAGAAAGCCAAGAGTCGTAAAACTACGATTTAACACAGGTATGTGGTATCCTCACCGAGGGACCTTTTATGAAGATCACAGTGGAATTTCCGGTGAGGGTGTTAGGACTAGTCCGATCGATGATCGGAGGCATCGTCCATCTGCGAACATCCAAGTTACTAGGAGATCTTTCATCGCATTTAACTCACATTTACTTGCGAGTAGTGGTACGAGATAACTGACAACTGATTATTTATACACTCCGAGTGTACGGTTGACAATATGAACTGAAGATTGTGCTTGCAGGTGAAATCCCAAAAATAGTCAGTTCAAATCAATTTATATCTTTATCTTTATTACTGGTCAACAACAGGGTTAGCTAAAAGATAGTAACTAGCGTGCGTAACTATAAAGTTAATGACTGTGCACAGAGAACCTGGAAATACAAGTAGAAATAACTCAAACGAATAGAACTGTTTAAATGGTAATTGAAGGTCCATCAAGCAGGTCGAAGCAGCAGTGAATGCATGAACCAACCTGGATACAAGGAACCGCGAGTTGTTCAAAAGATTGTACATTCACCACGTACTGCCCGACTCGAGGCCAGTTTCGCGGAACAGGAGAGACCATACAATCCGCACATCGGGCCAACGGCGAGCGTCTAGTTGGATTGTCGAGGAGGATAACATCAAACCCGATGCGTCGGGAACGTCGATCTGGGGATTCACGAACTTCCTCGGTAATAAAACCAGTTGAATAAATTTGCTTGTAATTCTTCAGTTCTTTAAATACCCGTGATATCAGAGTAGTCTTACCCGAGCCTAATCGGAGAACGAAAATGGGATAGTGATATAGTAACAGGGACGGGCAACAGATGCGTATTTTTCATTTGAATTTTGACAAAGAACAAGGGCAAACCGTAGTTAATGAGCGAAATCAAAAAGTGAAATCGCTTTAGGCTATCTGATTGGGAACTTGGAGATCGCTTTAGTTGCTTGAGGTGTTGTCCGAGCTGGAAGTGTTTCGTAGCCAGACTAGGCAGCATCAATGCACGGATGCAGAGCGGTTTGTCGAGGCAGGTAGTGGATCAAAAAAGGTGGTCCAATTAAGACCTGATATGAGGGTATGAAACCCCTGAAAAGAAAACTCGATCATATTAATTGCTTTATGCTCCCTGAATGGGGATAATCGTGATCGACAATCAAAAAAACCGGGCGATATCGCTGAATATCGTAAACAGTAAAGCTCATGCATCTACTCAAGATCCTTGCAACTGCAAACTACCCGAGTTCCCTAATTTCTCTTTGCCACTGCTATCGACACACCAATTTTCCCTGTACTCTTTTGCCAGAATGGATAGCAAAAGACAAGCACAACAGCCACCGCATGGAGGTGCATAGTTATAGTTGTAAGAACTGAGCTGAACTGATTTCTTTTTTATTCGACTTCCTTTTACTGATTATACAATAATACCATTTTCAGGAATGGGGAAGCGGATAATTAAAGGACTGTCACACAAAATGAACAGCAGATCCTCGTGACTATGGAGTTCAGTCCGTCTGCGGTTCATCACACTGGTGTGTATTAAAAAAGTAAGGTATATATGCCCTTGTTGCACACCCGGGTTTAATCACGATTTTATGAAGATGCTTCTCAACCATTAATTATGCTGCTTGTATTCCAATCTCATGTTCATTCACGAAACAAGATGATTAACATATGAAATACTTTCCAATTAGACCTACAGCTACTTGTAAGTAGTGTTATGAAATAAGTGATATAAAGGATACAAACTTACCGTTTTTCCAACATCTAAGCGAGCACATCTACCTGAACCCGCATGGAAAACCGTATTGAAACCCCGATTCCGTGGGAGAAATTTAGTACAGGTTAACAGACATTCTGATGTCTCCAATCAAAACTAGTGGGTTAATAACTAACTAAATGTCACTGAAGATGATATCTGGCCAAACCCAAGCTGGTAATTCTGAAAGTTTAATGAGTAAAGCATACCCTGATCAGCCGGTGAATATCTAGCCATACATGTTGACATCTTGCTTCTCTTCTCACACAAATTGATTTACAGCCTCCGTATGGTCAGGGGTGAGTGTCTAGGGTTGTTGCTGGTCACCCCTTCCCTTGCACCTCGCGAAATGCTCCTATACGACCGAGCGCCTCAAATCGCCTCTGTTGAGGAAGCCCTATTCACTGACTTCGTGGCGGAGGTCTTTTCCCAACAAAGTGAGAAGACGAAAAGCCGATATCCAGAGTTAGCTAAAAACCCTGATTCCAAGTCAAACAAGAGGCGTCGGAACCACACTTTCTCGATTGTGGCAGTGGTCACGGGCTCGATTGGTTATCAAGATGTATTTGGTACCTTGGACGCTTGACCCCGTCCAAAGGGCGTTTGGTCCGATTAACTGGACATCAGGCCCCAATGGATTGCAGTTTTCGCACACCACCCCGCTACCTTGAGGATCAGGCTTTGGCTGGTAAAAGGCTCCGGTTGTGAAGTCCTCAAAAACAATTCACCTAGCTTAGGCTGGGCAACCTGACAGTATTCCTCCCATATGCAAATCATGGAATTTTTTTCTTTTTTATAAAGATTATTGTACCATGATTTGTTTGGCACACAGTCTGACGTCAGACGTATGTGAGATATGATAATAATTTGCAGCAAAAGAAAGCATATACCCCTATACATAAGGAGAGTGTAAGAGGGGTGTGGGGGGAACATTCAATCTTGCTTTTGAAAAGGGGAAAGATTTTGAATGGTTGGAAATACGGAAACGGGAAGTTTTCCCCAATTTTGCAGAGGAGGAAAAAATGAGGACTAAAAAATTGAAGTTCAACATCTGGGTGCACAAACCTCATAAGGGTGGCCACCCTTGTGATAACGCCATTATTTTTATTATACAGTTTTTGTGAGTATCTTTATATATTTTCACGTCTGAGTTCAGACTGTGTGAAAAAAAGGACAATCATTTTTTATAAAAAGAAAAAACATTCATGATTTGCTCGAGAGGGCGAGACTTTTAGGTCGCCCAGACAAAAACAGGTGAATTTTCTTGGGGAATTCACAATCGGAGCCTTCGACTAACTAAAGCCTGACTCACAAGGCAGTGGGGCGGCGCGTGAGAACGGCAATCCATTGGGGGCCTGTGTCCAGTTCATCGTCCTTTGGACGGGGTCAAACGTCCAAAATAACCAATGCATCTAGATGCCCAACTGAGCCGGTGAACACTGTCACGACCGGGAAGGTGAGTGCGTGGTTCGCACGCCTGTTTTTGGTTTAGAATCACGGTTTTTAGCCAACTCCCCTAAGTGAGGTAACAGTGGTTCACCGACCCGGATATCGGCTTTTCGTTCTCTCATTTTGGTGGGAAAGAACCTCTGANGTCAATAGAGCTTTCTCAGAAGATATCTGAGACGCCTGGTCGTATGGGAGCGTTTCGCGAGGTGCAAGGAAGGCGTGACTAGACGCAACCAGCGACACCTACTCTGTACACATTGAGGTTTTCGGAGGTTATTTTTCTGCGTGATGAATAGCAGACGGCGCGGACCCTAAAGTCACAAAGACCTGTTGTTCCGTGATGGGAACTAGTAATCTAAGGTCGTGGACTTGGAGTCGCGAACCACATAAGGCCCCGCTAGATAAGGTGTGGTATTGGAAAATACGACAGCAAAGCTCTTGGGTGGCATCGGTGGGACTCGAATCTCGGTCCCTAGGATCCAAAGCACACCGGTAACAATGACCAAACCACTGCGTCACCACCACCAAGTTCAAGAGTGGAGTTCGGAAGAACAGAAACCAAAATAGTGAAGGCAGAAAAGCGATGACAAAGCAACTGCAAGGAGATTGCAGATTTGGAGTTAAAAAAGGGTTGTTGATCAGTCGGATGGCCTTACGTTGAACACGGTTAAGAACAGAAAGAGCAGAACACAAAGCTTCACCTATTGATTCTCTCCCGCAATTATTCACCATTTTGTCGCTCTTATCCACCTGCGCACCTTATACTCTGACATTTTGTTTAGCACAATCCTTTATGAAAATCATCTGAACGAGGAGGAAGCGTTGAATGTTTAAACCTTAAATCATGGCTTATATGCAGCTTTTCTGTTGGATCAACTAAATTGTGTCTCTGGTAGTTTTCGATGTATTGTATTGTCGATCAGGTTAGTTCCGAATGAAAAAGAAATATTTAGGTTAATGAACGTTTTGCTAATATAAGACAGAACTCCACCTTAGAGCGTACTGCCAAAGAGCAGTTACCTGAATTTGAGTTGAGTTTGAAAAGGAGGTAATAATTTAGACTACCGGCTGATTACTATACAGAAGTTTCATCTCCCATCCGAAATGAATAATCTGGAGATGAAGGTGATCCATCAGCGACGAGACTACACCTTGACGTGGTGTGATGGCTTGTGCACCTGTGACCGAACGAGCTACACAGGATGGCTTTATAAAGCCAGGAGATCTTATCATGCCTGGAAGGTCAATGGGTAAAGTGGTGGAGGAGTAATTGATCCAAGTAAATGGGCCTCCGCTTCACCTCACCCGCTGCCTTACGGTTAGGTTCTTGTTAGAACTAAAGGCTTTGGACGAGAACCCTAATTGTTTTCCACCCTCATGCTTAGTGGCTGGACACCCTAGCAGTACCCGTCCACCAAACACCAACGCATACACAAAATAAAAATAATTCCTTACTGCATCGGTCGTCGCGCAGGATAATCAGGACCGCGCTGCCCACTGCATCGAGCGGGGTGGATAGTGATAAGTGGGCTACTACTCAGATATTCTAACCTTTGCTTAACTCTTTGTCTTCCGTTCCCAACCCTCTCCCTTTGCCTCTTCTTCCGACCTGTAATAGTCCCTCAAGCAACTTGGATGTCACTCGCAAAAGGTCATTGCCAAATAGCANTTAAGCCTCGTCAATCACTGAATCTGGGGGTCTTCAACGTGAGGACTTTGATGCAGCTAGGTCAACAAGCTTGTCTGGCTCGCACAATGGAATCCTTAGGAATAGATATTTGCTGCGTGTCGGAAACTCGAATCCAGGACCCTACTACTCTAAACCACTTGAGCGCGCCAGATTAGTCGACGAGATACGTTCTTCGAACATCAGGCGACGATGAAGCTCGTTCAGTAGGTCAGCGCAGGATAGGTATTGTACTGAGTAACACAGCGGAGTCTTCTCTTATCGATTGGATCTCCGTCAACAGTCGTTTATGTGTAGTGAGCCTCCAGGGTTCAATCAGCGTCCGGAAGGGAAGCAACACTAAAAGGTGTTTGTTCATCGTATCAGAATATGCACAGAC